AGGGAAAAAGTAAGAATGTAGGTCACGTCCCATTTGACGCCCTATCACCACGTGTCTGTACACGTGTTTTCAAATTTCAAAACGAGTCTGTCACGTGACACACGTAATTTCCGAGTGGTTTTTGGCAGCCCCTCTTTTCCCCTCGCGCGCCCGTCCTCTAAGAGCCTTTCGTTCCTCAAGGCACACACGTGAAAATTTTCGAGTGGTTTTGTTTCGGTCTTTTTGCCCGTCCTCCAAGAGCCTTTCGTTCCTCAAGGCACAAGCCCGCCAAGCAACCAACTTTTACAGTGGCGTACCTCATGAAATGTCGCTCAGCGCAACCGACTTCGACGTGTGCCTTTCCATTTACTGCTTTCTCATGCCACTTCTCTTTCTTCGCCTTCACCAATACATACAGCTGTAGGCATAGACTGTCCCATTCCCTCAGAACATATGCGCACCCTAATGATTCAACCCAAGAACAATTTGGCCGCACAACCCGTAAGGCAGCGCCACGCCAGGCATAGCAACCACCATCACCCTATCGGTCCGAATCACCCATCACCGCCTTGTCTTATGATACGATTGACCACTTTCTGAACAGTGTGTCACCGCTGCGTCGACCAACTGATCCGTCTGACTGCACATGACGCGCTCCGTACAAAATATCATGATGATCCGTCCTCATCGAGATAGTTACTGGCTCAGAGGAAGCGAACGGTGAAGCTCTTGGAGCCCTGCTTCCTGCCCTGGTAGTAGAGCGAAAGCTCGACCGAGGATCCAGAGGGGATCAACTCCAGTTCGAAGCAGAATCGCTTGAAACTCTCGTTTTGGGCATTGGTCCAGTCCGGAAGCTGGTCGAATGGCCTGTCGATCTTATAGTCGAGGACGCACAGCATCTCCATGTCCGAATGCTTGCGTGTCGGTGCGATCAGGTCGCTGCACTCGTACAGGCACTCCGACAAATTCTCCATCTCCGCGGGACTGGAAAAGGTGCGATAAAAGCTTCGCCGGACGGGCTCCTTGCTGGAGACATTATCGCCCTATATAAGTACATTAGTCAACGCCAGAAATGATAGCAGGAGAAGAGGAGATGATGTGTGGCATAATGACTTACCCTCTTGAGGTACCAGCTCATCTGGTTGTCGGCTTTGTACTTGAGCTCCCTCATGTCGAAGTACCGGTCCGCGGGCAAATGTTTCGACGGATCAAATGTCTCGGCAACCCGAATACCCACGTTGGCCCGAGAGATTGTCGACGTGATGAGGACAGGAGGAATGCCCACTGGCCGAGACTTATCTCCGACGAAGCCTCGGAAGACAGCACCGCGACAAATGGCGGTCCGGCTGTTTGTAGTAATATCACGTCAGCTCAGGCTCCTATGTTAGGTATTTGGCGCAGCTTTCGTACGGTTTGATGCCAGTGGCCTGCAATACAGCTACGCCTCTCTTCAAGTGCATAGCCTCGAGGTGCTCGTACAGATACGGGCTGGAGCCGAGTCCGCCGACGAGGATGAGACCCTTTGACAATACACCGCATTAGTTGCGTCCCTGAAAAAAAGGAAAAAGCATGTTCCAGGGCTATTCTTTTGCTTACAGTGACCTTGCCGCCCTTGTCCATGACTTCATTGATCTGCCTGTCTACCAGCTTGTCGATGCCGGCGAATGACTTGTCGAAGGTTGACTGGATCATGGTGCTATGTGAGATCAGATGTTAGGCTGTATTTCGGTATGCCGGGTTCCGTAATGTGCATTTTTTTTACCACTTACCAAGAAATATGCATGCAGCCATTTACGATAATTGGCTGCCTCGAGATGTCGGTCGTAACGATTGGCTGAGAGGCGGCGAAGGCTTCCGCAGGAATGCAGACGACAAATTCCTTGTGAGGGTTGCTTGCCTTGAACTGCGGTTTGATGCCATGTTCCCACTCGACGTTGAGAATCTGGCGGACTCCGCGCTTGCTGAGGGCATCCCAGCGACTCTCAAGGCGCTCCTTGCAGATGTTCTTGAATGCCTCGTCGATGAAGGCGCCGCCACAGAGGGCCCCTGTACCTTCGACATATTCGGACATGGCGATGGGACCCACCTTGTCGATCTTGTAGCTGATGAGGTCGACAGTGCCACCTCCTGCATCACAAATGACAAAGATGTCGTCCTTTTTGGGCTTCCGTCCCGGCTCGGTGAGGGTAGCCAGGGCCGCAGCTTCGGGCTCAGGGACGAAGGACATGGTGGTCAGTCCGGCAGAACGCTCGTCTAGAATGCCGGCCAGTCGGGCAGCCTCGTGCATGGACTGGCGAGCATAGGGCTTCCAAATGGCAGGCACGGTGATAACCACACGGAAGGCTAGAGACTTGACAACGATGTCGCCGAGATTTTTGGTGATGGTATCCAGAGTGTGGTTCCAGAGCAGGCGCAGATAGTCGGTAATCACCTCGACAGCGGTCTTACCGGTCTTTGCCAGGAACATGCGGCCCTTGGTCAGGACCTCGGAGTGGAGGAGCTCGTCAGTCATATCTCCGGGTTTCAGAAGCAAAAGCTTGAACCAGCGGACTGGATCGGCGTCTGCGGGAACCTCGAACCCCCAAGAGACCTCGCCACCGCCGCCATAGGCGATCTCGGTGGGAACCTTTCCCTCCTCCCGACCGTTTCCAGGCCAGGTGGTGATAATATTGACGCTGTTCTGGTCACTCTCGAACTCGTCCGAGGTAGCCCAGGCCACACCAGAGAACCTGCAACGGGAGAAGTCAGCAGGGCAAAGGAGAGGAAAAAGGGGACAGCAGGGCAGCACAGGCCACGCCGCGTAGCACCGTGAAACCTACGTGGTCCCGAAGTCGATTCCAATGACTAGAACGCCATCGTCATCATCGAGGATTGTGAAGGCCTCGTCGTCCGCCGAGGAGGAGCCGTCTTCCGCAAAAGCCATGCTGCAGGAAAGGCGATGGCGGTTTAATGCGGCTGGGAATTTAGAGACGCAAACGGCGCGTGATCAAACCAGTCCAAAATGCTCCAAAAGGCTGGAATACCCTGCTTTGGGTAGCGGTATTGACTGCGGTTTGGCGGCGTGTAGGTTAGATAAAAAAAATTGAGGAGGAAGGAGAAAAGTGGGAAGGATTGGGAGAATGGAGGAAAAGTGGGAAGGATTGGGAGAATGGAGGAAAAGAGGGCAGCAAACCTAAATAACGCAGTGGCTCTAGAAAACCTTGCTGGAATTCAAAAGAATAGACGATAAAGTAGGGAAGAAACCTAATAGAAAGGGGGGCTCTTTCTGCTCGCTGTGCCAGCGGAGGGTGGGCACGGCGCCCTCCAGCAGGACGGCGACGCGGAGATCCGGGGCATCGCCTGGTGTCATGGACGTCGATATGCTGCAGACAACCCCCCACCAGTAATGGAATGGTCCGGCCAGTCGTCGAAGATGGAGACGGTCGTGAACAACATTGTGAATGGATCGCAGGGTGATAAAAGGTAGGCAGGGCTGAGTATAGAAGCAAGAGTGCGGCTTCCCTTGTTTGCTGACCCGGAATTTTTAGCAAACCAGCGGCGAGATCCCATGTCGCGACGCCGGGAGACTCAATCACCAAGTGTTTCGTTTCATGCGTTTCCATCCGGAGATGGGATCGTCCATCAAGCAGGGACGGGGAGACGGTGAGCGCGAGGTGAGCTTAACGACGGGACGCAGTAACGGTAAGCAGATATCAACAACCATCTGATGTCGCGAACCAATCGCGCCACGCATGCCAAAGCGAAGCCCCTCTTGTTAGCCATGTGGCTAACAAATGGGTCAGATAACCTTTGCGAATCCGAAACCTAGGAGATGATCCCTTTCGGATGCGGGGAGGAAGGTCCTTTCTACCCTAAATCGGTCTTGTCTACTTCTTTATTCCAGCTGTGACGAGATCCATGTACACATAAATCTCGATATCACACCTACTGACCACCACCCTCCAGCAAGCATATCGCGAGCCAGCAAGCACGCAACAATAGAGCACGCTCTACCCAAGCCACCCACTCAAGATATTCTTCGATGGGGAAGAACGAAGGCACCAGCTCTGTGATGGCTGACGAGGGCCATGTGCCCTGCCAGTCTCGGGTCCGCTCCCCCATGTCACCATGTGCTACCCCGGAGGGCGAGAATATGCAGCAGAGCCACATGCGTCACCAAGGTCAACATCAACCCGGTCTCCACGAGCAGCACCGGGATCGGCACCAAAGACACCACCAGGCTCAGCGTGCCCAGCAGATCCAGGTTGAGCAGCAAAGTCCGGGCAAACAGCAGGCCCAGGCCGGCGAGCAGATCAAGGACGGCCAACAGACTCAGGATAATCACACGAACCCAGGACCCCAACCACACAATGTGCATCAGCAGCACCAAAGCTCTCAACAGAACCATGAGAATCTGGGTTCCCTGAGCTACACACCCCAAGGCGATAACCCTTCTTTCCCAATGTCCCCACCGGCAGCAGCGCCACCGGGCCTTGCCACAGCCGCAACACATTTTGAGGTCGTAGAGAAACTGAATACCTGTTGGAAGGAGCTGGAAGATCAGAGCAGAAAGATGCACGAGTACCTCCTCTCTGCTGCTTCTCATTACGGCAAGCTGGAGGAAGAGCTTGAGGAGGCGAAGAAGCGTCAGCGCGACGCTGAAAAGCAGGTTGAGGAGTCCAAAATCCAGCACGAGGAAGCCTGGAAGGCAGCAGCAGAGCAATTCCAACAGCAAGGAACCAAGCTTCAGCTCCATCAGGAGCGAGGAGACAGGGCGGAGTCCAAGGCCCAGCACCTCGAGGATTGCCTGCAAGCATCTAGCAAAGAGCTCGAGGCTGAGAGGGCTTTTCGAGTTCAGGCTGAGAAGCAAGTCGCTGAGAAGCACAAGTTCTGGAAGCAGGCAGCCAGCGAGCTCAGAAAGAAGACCATGGCTCGCCCAGCCCCCAGCCAGGTGACGGACGAGTACCTCGTCAACGAGATGCGGAAGCTCAGATACACCATTCGCAACTTTGCTGTCAGCTACTTTGAAGGCCCGCCGCGCGACATTGATCCCAATCAACTCAAAAAGACCGAGTGGCACGACAAAATTGCGGCCATCTTCCCCGAAGCTGATTGGATTCTGCAGTACATCATGTCCAATGAGAAGTGTCCTAGCATCGCACAGGCTCTCTTATGGGAAGTACTTCAGATCTGGGTGTTCGGCAGCTTCCGCTGGGCTGGGAAATTGGGAGAATCTCTCCAGGCCCTTAAGAGTAGCCTGGCACCCGGTAAAAAAGCGCTCAAGACATACAGTAGCTATAAGGACACAGCTAACAATTCCCTGTTCTGGGGAATATGCATCCAGATCCAGAAACCTCCTCAACGTCGGATTCGGTGAAGAAGTATTACAAGTGGCGAGCGGAGACCGCCAACCTGGTCCTTGCTTCGATGACCGGCATTGATGGACAGCCCATTCCCAACGAGGCGTTCGAGTCCTGGAAATTGGGTTGCATCGAGGGCATGCGCTACTTGATCAACCCGTTCCTTCGGAAATCAGACCACACCGACAAGAGCTATGTCGACGACCTCAGCCAGATACTTGACCAGGCCCTGGCGCTCGACAGGGAGATGAGCGTACAGGTCTCTCCGGTCGTGCTGTTCAAGCGAGACGTGAAGCCTCCCCTTCACTTCAAGCAGGATGAGATGGAGCTAGAACATGGGGAGACGCTTTCCACTGCCGACCAGCAAGTGTTTCTCGTTGTCTCGCCGGCAATGATGAGACGGGGAAATTCTTCCGGCGAGGACTTCGACCAGGAGAGGATTCTTCTACCCATGGAGATCTCCTGTAGCCCCGGCACCCAGTACAGGATGACGAGGGCCACAAACCCCTGGGACATGTTGAGATACCTGAAACCTCTCGTCTACCGCTCCTCAACTACATCCCAACCAAAAGGTGGTAACCGTAAACGCCGATGGGTCAGCTAGCCTGACGCTGTCTGGGATAGGTGCAAGCAGATGGACTGCCCATGTGATCTCTACTCTTGATTATAGGTATGTGTCAGTCGATTCCCCCTACTGATCCTCGATACCTTTGCTAACAAATGGGCCACTGGAAAATGCTTGGAGGCGCTGTCCCCCGGAGCCAGGCTGATTACATCAACCCCCATCCAGTTCTGTAGATAGGGTGCACCTCGTGTCGGACTTTCTGAGCATCAAAAGATTGTTGTGTGTATCTTGTCGCTGTAGCTCGCATTTTTTAATCCCACGCGCGTCGATGGACGTGATCCCTGCTCGTCTACCTCTTTCCAGCCAGCTCTGCGAACAGCCCGCACGCGGTGGTGCCTGCACCACCGTGATGGACAACGGCGGAGACGCGCTTGAAGAGCCACTCTGGGTGGAATTGGTTTATTCCTCTTTCCAATGCTGTACGTCCGAGGTGGGCATTTACATACCGTGAGGGCAGTCTCCCAGGTAGAAAACGTCGTCGGTACTCGGGTCGTCGCCTCCGAGCTTGCTCCAGCCACGCGAGATGATGACCCTAACGCCGAGGCGCCGGCACGCCTCGTGAATGGCCCTGGTCACGCGGGCGGGGTCGTCCAGCACGATGCTCCCGAAGCCCACGTAGACGGGCTCGGGCCCGCTCGCGAGGAACCGCGCCAGGTCCGGGGGCGGCTCGTAGGCCGGCTCGTCGCGCATGAAGAAGCCGCAAATGTCGACCGTGTCGCCCCAGTCGGTGGGCTTGGGGACAAGCGCGGGCGACCAGCAGTACGTGTGGGGGATCTTGGTGATGGCGACAATGTCCGGGCCGACGGCGGCGGCAAGCGGGTCGAGGCCCAGGTCTTTGACCCGCCAGTCGTTAATGACGTCTCCCAGCCTGGAGCAAGCGGTGATTTTAGTCGGCGCCCCAAGCTGAAGTTGGAGCAGACATAAACTTACCCCTGCCAGGTCATCAGGTCGACAACACCGTAGCTCAGGTAGTTGGACAAGCGCGGATTCACGTTGGCGGAGCGCACGTTGGCGAGAGGGTGCGAGAAGGCCCTGGTGGCGGTCCAGGGCATGGTGAACATCATGTGCAGCGGCACCCCGAGGGCCTCGGCGCAGTGCACGTGGGCAAAGCTGGGAGGGTTGGCGATGATGGCGTCGGCGACAAAGGGTGCGTGGGACACCTCGTCGGGCTCAACGCAGGACCGCCAGCAGCCCCGGAGCATCTCGCGCATCATTCTGCGCTTGCGGCCAATGTCGCCGCCGCGCAGGCTCTCCATAGAAGGGATCAAGCCGGGGTTTTTAACCATGTACTGCGGGGAGTGCATCACAGAAGGTCAGCGGGTTGAAGCCAGCGTCGCACGTGCATCGTGACCCCGCGCATGCTTACAGCCATGAGGTCCTCGGGGTCGCCGCCGATGGGATAGAACTCGAGACCCGACTTGTGCACAAAATCGGCAAAGGTGTCGTGGATAGCCAGCCGGACGCGGTGGCCGTATCGCTGGAGGGCGGTGCCCAATGCGATTAAAGGCTGTACATCGCCTGGTGACCGTCTAGGTTAGCATTTGCTGGTGCTCGGGAGACAAGCTCCCTGGGGACAAGCCCACGGAGCGGCCGACCTACATACCCCTGCTGCCGACGACCTGAACTACGATATTGAGTATGGGACACCGCCTGCCGCCGCCAGTGGACTCCTGGGGCGGCTGCGCATCTGTCCTAACAGCGGGGGGTGGCGGCAGGAGTCGCTCGAGCTCCTCGGGACTCGTTGAGGAGAAGTCAATATCGACACCACCGTGCTCTGATGTCGGCGCGTCAGCCTTGGGGGAACCTCGTGCAACGCATATTCCTTCTGGCCCGTCCGAGTGTTTGCAGAAATATCCTACCGTTCACGGCTGCGGCACTGGCCAGGACGGTGCCTGAGGAGTGCAATTGGTAGGGAGGGGGGGGCATCCCAGTCCACCTCGGCCTCGTGGCCGGCAGCATCGACATGGGTGTTTTCGCCTTTTTTCTCCATTGGGGGTTCTTTTTGGTTGTCTCTTGCAACGATGAAAAGCTTAGCTGCCCGCTTTGGATGGCGATGACAGTTTTTATGCTAACGACCAGTGATTATAGCCAGGGGCGACTAGCGAGTCGAACTTGGGCGAATCATCGGATGGGACTCGGATTATCGTTTGGTCGGTTAACTCCCTCTGAGTGGCTTGTTCCCTGCGCCGCGTCCTCGGATGGGACTCGGGTTCCTCGTTTAGTCGGTTAGCTCCAGGGTGGCAGGGTGATGCCTAGTCTGCGGCTGAGCTAGGCTGCAAACAGCTGCCGGCTTCCACGCTCCTTACTAGCGTCGCGTCCCGGCAAGTTCCTAGCCCCAGTGCTTGACTCTGGACAATGCGGGTATCTAATCGATGGTAGCTTGTCGGGATTGCCGGCCGCACGGCCTTAAGCCGATCAGAGTGTCACGGTAGGCCGACGGCCAATACGAGGTGATAACGATGAGAGTAGACGGTCTGCGGGGGTCAAGGTCCAACATTAATATAGGGGTAGATACGAATAACTTCAGCTTGTTCCGGCAATCTAGAAACTGCCTCCCACAAGCTGCCAAGTAACGTGGCCGAGCCTGAGCCACGGACCGGGTTCCCCGCTGTGATGGCGCGGCGTGCCTTGTTGGGCAGGCGCAGCCATGTCTCGCTTGCACCAAGGTACTAAGCCCAACGTGGGATACAAGTTAGGCACTTGTATCTTCTGTCCTTTTGGCCTAGTTGGATCGGGCTTAGCTAGAATTGCCAGAGCCATGACACCCGCGACGACTCCGAGGCCCTCGCGGGGAAGGCCTTGTTTGAACTGCGCACCGTCCTGGAGAAGGAGTGAGGGGTTAAACCCCTGGAATTACATAGACAAGAATAAGAAACTGCGGTTGTGTGTATGTAAAGCGGGGAGCGTCATGCTATCCATCGGCCACCCCCTCAACTACCTCAGGTATGGCGGTGTTTTGCATGCATACGGAACAGCACCTCGGCACGCGCTTGATCGCCGATGTCGAGAATCGTAATCGCACCGAACCCGAGCATGTGGTAGCTGGGCGGAGCCTCCGAACAGGCAAATGCAACAGTGAAATGCAGCCTCCACCTCGGCCCCACTAGTTTAGGGCCGGTACGGACCTTGACCAAGGCCTTTCTTCTACAGCAGTCGCAGAGTAGGTAGGCACTCCGCCCGCCCCGCGCCCAATTACTGGGTCATTGCATTTTGGGGCATTCTGGGGTTCGTCGTATGTATGAAGCAGCTGAGTGATATTCGGCATGATCTTTACCGATGAGAACAAAGGGGCTAGCGTGGCTGGGTAGAAAGGGGCAGATGGCGTGGCCAACAAAAGACGAAAACAGGATCCATGACAGCCCTGGATCCTCCAACGGAGCTTCACACAAGGCCGGGGCCATGAGGGAACGGACACATACCACCTCCACTGAGATGGACTTTTTTCGGCCACAACTCCCCATTCTGCAAAATAGGGGTGCCTGCGATCTGCCACTGGGCCACAAAGTGCCGCTTGGCCGGGCGGCGGGACCATATAAGAGGCCCTTCTGGCCTCCCGCCCTTGAAAGCAATGGCTCGACTCCATATCCTCCGGCATCTCGCAGCAGCTAGGTGGGACAGAGACCGACACGAGACATGTTTGCCAACACGAGAATCGCCCCCCTCGGTTGGGCGGCGGCCGCCATCTTAGGCCATCCTGCGTCAGCCTCGATCGACGACCAGGCGGGCTTGCACTTCAACGGCGGCACATTCGAAAAGCCGTCATCTCTCGTCCGCCCACGCTTCCGCTACTGGCTGCCCGACTCGAGCGTCAGCCCCGATGTGGTCAAGGCGGACATCACGGCGGCCGGCTCCATCGGCGCTGGCGGTATTGAGCTGCTCCCGTTCTTCCAGTACGGCGGCCGGATCGGCAACATGCCACCCGGCGCCGACTGGTCCATCTCAAACTTTGGGACGCCGCAGTTCGACGCCGTCTTCCGCGCTGCGCTCGAGGCGCACCAGGAGCACGGCATGGTCATGGACTTTGCCCTTGGGCCCAACCAGGGCCAGGGGGTGCCCGTGCGCGCCGACGACGAAGGCCTGCAGTGGGACCTGGTCCCTTTCACCGCGGCCGTTCCGCCCAACCGGTCCTTCCACGGCGTGGTTCCCGGCTGGGGAACTGGAGAGCTGGTGTCTGTTGTGTCTGCGGCTGTCGCGTCGCAGAAGTCCCTGTCGACGACCGCCTCGGACGAACTACAGCTGGTCAACGTCACATGGGATCAGTATATTCTGCGCCATGGCAGTCTGACCGAGAGGATCTCGTCTGTCGACAATACGACGGGAGAGGTCTCCTTGACGCTGGGCGCCGCCTCGAATTCGACAGGCTATCGTCTGTTTGCCTTCTACCAGAAGCTCACTTTGGAGCGGAACCTCGTTTTCAACGCGACCCAGGACAAGACCATATTCGACAATGGATCTTTCGTCGTCGATCATTTCGACGGTGCCGGCGCCCGTGTGGTGGCAAGGTTCTGGGAAGACCACATCCTCACGGACCCGACGACTAAGGAGCTGTTGACAAAGGTCGGCAATTACGGTACGCGCCTGTCCAACTCGATCCATATTTGCATGTTGTTGACTGATTCTTGCTAACGGACTTCGTCTTCGTTTCGATAGCATGGGAGGACAGCGTCGAGATCACGTCCAACATCTCGTGGTCCAAATCACTCTCCGCGCGCTTCCAGAAGGTCGCTGGATATCGCATTGAGCCATTCCTGCCCCTTTTAACGTTCAAGCAAAACAACTTCGCCTTGCAGGCCGCGACCCCAGGGCCGTTCGAATGCCTCCTCGACTCCCCGGACCAGGGCGCCGGCCACGTCAACGACTACCACAACACGTTGGCTGATGGGATAAAAGACTATCTCCAAACCCTCACAAACTGGACAAATGGCGTCCTGAAACTGCAGTTATCGGCGCAGCCAGGGTATAATTTGCCGGTCGACATGCTGGCCACGATCCCAATCGTGCAGGCGCCCGAATGCGAGAGTCTTGGCTTCGGAGACGACATCGACCTGTACCGCCACTTTACCGGCCCCGCGAACCTGGCCGGGAAGCGTGTCATTTCGAACGAGCTCGGTGCCGTCATAATGTCCGCCTACCGGTACCTCCTTTCGGAACTCCTGTTCTCGGCTAATCGGGGCTTCGCCGCTGGCATCAACCAGTACGTCATCCATGGGCAGGTGTATAGCGGAAACTACTACGCGACGACCTGGCCCGGCTACACCCCCTTTAGCTATCTCTTTTCCGAGCTCTACTCGGACAAGCAGCCGTACTGGGAAAACGGCCTCGCCGACGTGCTCGGCTATATGGGTAGGACGCAGCTGGTCCAGCAGTCTGGCGTTCCTCGGGTCGACGTGGCTGTGTACAGCAAGCAGTCAACTACGTCGCCGCTCGGGGTCGGGTATAAAGCGGCTGACCTACAGAAGAACGGTTGGTAGCCTTCGCTAATGGCCTTTTTTGTGCTCGGATGCTAATATTAATGGTAATTGCAGGGTGGACGTATACGTACGTATCGCCAGCCAATTTCGATCTTCCCCAAGCCACTGTCAATAATGGGGTGCTTGGGCCCAACGGGCCGGCGTGGAAGGCCATAGTGATTGAAAGCACCCGGAACCTGACCCTGAGCGCTGCTTCGAAGGTCAAGGAGTATGCCGGGGCCGGTCTGCCCGTCATTTTCAGCGGTGGCTCCCCCAGCTACTACCCCGAAAAGGACGGCGGGTCAAAGGGCGGAGTTTGCCAGCCAGCTCACGAAACTGATGTCAAGCACCAATGTCCACCAAGTCGCAGCCGGTGGCGTGGCCGAGCTTCTTTCCTCGCTTGGTCTCAGCCCCTGGGTCAAGGCCAGCAGCAACGGCACCTGGTACACGACATGGCGCGAGTCGGCAGCTGACGGCATCGACTATGCCTTCGTTCTCTCCGACTTGGCACCAGCGTCCGGGGAAATCGTTGTCGCGAGCACCAAGCGACCCTACTTCTTCGACGCCTGGACGGGCACGCGGAAGCCGGTTCTAACGCACCAGCAAGACGAAACGACCACCACGATCCCGCTCAGCATGGCGGGCAACCAGACGCTCATCATCGCCTTTTCTGACAAGCTGGAGTCCGAGGTTCCGGCCCCGTCGATGCACATCACCTCGGCCCCGCCCTCCGTCATCGGCGCAGACTTTGACAAAACGTCGGGCATCTCCCTGCGCGTCGTCGCGTCTGCGGCGCCAGGCAACGTTAGCCTTTCCGACGGGACTTCCCACGCCGTCCCCGCGATGGAGGCGCCCCCCGCCTTCGCCCTCACAAACTGGACCCTGGTGGCCGAGCTCTGGGAGGCGCCCCCCAACCTCTCCGACGCCAGCGCCATCGCCTCCAAGCGCAACACGACCCATGAGCTCCCCACGCTGGTCCCCTGGGCTGCCATCCCGGCCCTCGTAAACGCCTCCGGCCTCGGCTACTATTCGGTGCGTTTTTCATGGTCCCCCTCCAACGCCTCCGCCACGGGCGCATACCTTTCGCTCCCGGGCCCCATCCCCAACACGGCGCCCCAGCTACTCAACGCCGGGTCCCTCCCGGTGCCCGAGGTCCTGGTGGATCTCAAGGGGATACCGCTGCCGGGGCGGGTGGAGGCCGGGCTCGTTGGGGAGGTGAGGGTTATCCCATTTGTGGTGCAGAGGCTGGGCCTGTAGGGGCGGGCTTAGTGTTGAGATGACAAATGCCCCTGGTCAGTGACTTGGGACACGAGCCACAACAGACTTCCCTCATGTATAAAAGGCCATGGCCTTTCCCACCCTTCTGAGGGCACACTGCTAGACAAGCAAGAAATGCAAAAGACCTTAGATCATTGCGCTAGGTTTTTTTATGGCGCCGCCGCCCACCAAGTGGGCTCGACCCAATTGCCCATTTAGATGACGCGGTAGGGCTACGATAACTCGTTCGCCGATACCAATCACGCGGATGTCACCGTCACGGCACCTGGAGTCGACCCTAGCTGGGTCTTTCACACCGTCTTCGGCTAAAAGCCCGCACGTAACCTATTTTATACTCCCTTTATCCATTGCACTTAACTATTTGCTGGCCAACCGCATTATTACCACCCGCAGCGCCTACAACGCCCCGGCGTTTTTATACGCCCTACTGCCAATCGCCCGCTTACCAACAAGGAGCGCCGGAATGCGGCCCGAACTCCGTATGCCTTCGGGTTTAATTTTGCTAGCCGCCGGATAGCAACATGTAGCCTAATGTTTAGCTTAGGTAGCGCTAGCACGTCGTATGCCCTCTGAGAGGCAGGGACTGGTAAATCCCGACTTACCGAAGTTAAATATACTTCTCCTCTTCTCCGCTGCAAGGCCTCCGTCTCCTGCCGTAGCCTGGCCGCACGGTCGGCCTGTGATTCGGGATAAGGCTGCACGAATCGGTCGGCGGGCCCGTTGGTGTCGTAAATATATGCCGACAGACTCCACCTCCTGTGACCTGCGGAGTGGAATATCCCAAAAGCCTGCAAGTTGTTAAAAACGTCGTCCTTGTGCGGTGTTGGCGGAACGGTTAGCAGCCGGACGCGCTGGAAGTCCACAGGCTTGCAGTCGGCCGCATGAATCTTTCTCGAGGCGGCTTCGTTTGTCGTTTTCCCTCGTCCATTCCCGTCCCGGAGAACCGCTCTCATGCTGCTGGCGTTTTGGTCGTCATCCTGGTCGTCTTTCTCTTCAACGTATTGGCTTTCCGAAATCCGAAACCACATCCCGCATTGAGCAGTCTTGCTGTATCAGGCGCCGAAAGGTGTAAGTGGTATACCGGATATCACAAAAGGGAAAAAAGGGAAAAACCCTTACGATGCCCTGCAAAAAGAGGTTTACTTACCACTGGACAGTCCTCCCTTCCGTCGCCACTACTGTCGTGTGACACCGGGGGCATTGGCTTCCGGTTAACCCTTGCTTTGTAACCCTAAAAACCATGCTCATGTTGACCTTCATGCCCCGGCGGAGCCACTGTGCCAACGGCCGTGACCGGTCCAAATCCCTCCCGGAACAGTGATCCTCCAGTGCGTACTGCTTTTTCCGGACTTTCTCTTTGCCTTTCAGGTCCCGCTTTTCGAAATGCCTTTGCAGCATGTAGTCAGTCCTATGGTTAGCCATGATAAATGTTAGTACGATAAAACTCCTAAGCACGGTTTAAGTTCCTTAAAGGGCTACCTCACCTGCCATTCGAAAATCCAATCCAGAGGTAATTCTAGGACATTCCCCATCGCATCTTCTATATGCGCCGGAAGGCCCTTCGTCGGGTCCAGCCTTAAACTGATCAAAGCTATCAACCCAAACAACAACGCTGGTAGGCCAGTCATCCCTTGGACCAGCTGTTCCAAAAGCACCCTAATTACTCCAAGGGCTGCGCAGGCGCCCTGCAAGGACACCACAAGACTTCGCAAACGCTCTTGGGCCTGATCTTGCCGGAGGGATATTTCCCGGCCTGTATAATCGATGCGATCTAGTATCGCCGCCGTGTCCATTACAGCCAGCTGCCTCGCGGCGAGGCTAGACAGTAGCGATAGCTTGTCCGTCGTTTCGGAAAGTTTCCTTCGCAAACTCGTTAAATCTTTCTTTTCCCTGAAAGTGAACTCGATTTTTTTGTATGCGTCCTTGACTTTGTTGCCTAACCCTCCTTGGCTTAGGCATTCGCTGTACCTACCGATAGCCTTATCCAGCGTGGCTTGTATCAAACCACCGCATTCGTGAACGGCAGTTTCGATATCGCGCTCGAGGCATATTAGGCTCGCCGGAGCTTGGCTGCGCGGTTTGTACGTCGCGACGACCTAAGATTCGAATGCGGGCCCTGCCACGTTAGTAACACTGCAGAAATCGTTTAAAAAAGCAGTTTTTATGGTTACAAACATGCAGCAGAACCCGAGAAAAGCCGTCGAGCGCTTCACGGAGCTCGAGGTATTCGGCGGCGGCCCCTTTCAGGGCGCTTCCAAGCTCTACCGCGATCTGGCAGATGACAAGGATGTCGCCGACGCTACCAAACGTTAGGGCGGCGGACATGTCAATTCTCGCGAGGCCGCGGTCGTCGGGAGCCCAGGGGGCGATCAGCGGTGGATATTGCCTACCGCGCGGCAAAAAGCGGCGATGAGATGGAGAGGTCGGCTCGGTTAAAACGATTTGTGCTTCATACGAATTGGGCGGCAAGGCTCTTTTGAGCAGGCAGTGTGCTCCTGTGGCCACGTCACCTCGAGGGTCGTTACCAAGCAGCTCCGACTCCCTCACTGCATGCACACAGCCGCAACGGCCAGCCAATGGCAAGTCCTAACGGTTCGCCTCGGAGTTCGCCCTAGAATTTGGAAAAAAAAATAACACATACACAGCCACCTCGAGGCTTGTATTGTACCACTTGGAACCGGCACCTGTATTATCTCCGAGGGGTTGGAAAGGGAGCCTTAAAGTTTGGTTCTGTCCCACACGAGACAAAATTAATGTCGAGGTGGACACTTTTGGAGGCGAGTTTTACGAACCCAGGCCTCGCATGGAGGCGCCCACATGTCGGGGCGGCGGTGGAAAGCGTTTGTTGCGGTAAAAGCCTTTGTGGGCGGCTAATGTTCTATTTGCAACATTTCCTCGAAATTTTTTTCCTCGTGGCATTTTGGCTGCAGCCTGGAGGCTGTTCATTGTGAGTGTGATGGCGGGAAGTTCCATCCCCCCAGGGACCCTGGCGTTACAGTGTAACGTTTCCCATCGATAGCCAGAGCTCCCGCCAGCCCCGCTATAATGGCCGGCCAACATCCTCGGCTCCTCCCGCCCGGCATCGAAAATCTTGGGATTTATGTTTGGCTAACGCCAGCCCTTTAATCTTCTCCCACCCCACATTTTGTTTGTCGCCGTCTTTCATCCCTAATCCCGCTCGCAAACGCCAGTCCGAACGGGAACTCGACAGCTTCCATTTGGCCGCCAGCCAACTTCGCGCCCCGGAGAGAGGGGCATTGGATGCTGGGCGAGCTAGACTGAGCCATGCAGCTTCTCAGGGCAAGACGGCCTCAATATGCCCAACACCTCCGCTGCTTGTCCATTTTCGAATGGAATCGCTAACCATCTTATCTACTGGAACAAACAGGGCCCCTGCCATACGTTGCGCGCCCATCGCTGCTCCTCCATTGTGCTCCCTTTGACCGACCCGGCTAAAGTCGGATTCGACCACCGCCATGCTCGAGATTGCCACAAACTTGGCCACCGCGCTTTCTTCCGCCACCGGCGCCGCACACGACTCCTTTCGAGCCTTTCGATAACTGCGACGCTCCCTCTCGAACTGCCCTCATGTCCTTTCGGTCTGACTGTTGGCGTAGCGGACGTTCGTTGATCGGGAGGAGAACGGCCGCAGCGGGAGAGGCCCCGGCTTGGTGCAGCGGACGCAGCTCGCACCCATGCTCTCGTCAGTTCCCACTGGGTTTCCCGATCAGGCATGCAAAAAATAACAACAGGGAATGCCATCCGAGGCGGCGTCGACAAGTGCCGAGGCTAGACTGCCGCACGCAGCCCGTTGTTGTTCTTTTGGTTAAATCTCGCACTTTGCCATGATTCCGTGCTGGAGGCTGACAGGTCTCCGTTCTCAGGCAGGCAATGCATACATCTCGAATTTACAAACACTCCCCCGTTGCTGCTTGTTGCGGGGTTTGATGAAATGTGCGAGACAATTCGGTTGAGAATGGCTGGGAGTGGGACGTGCCCATAATTTACACCAGAAACTGCGTGCAGACGAGCAACCAAGGCCCTCATCCCTGTATCTCGAAAACATCGGACTGGCCTCGGTTATGACGGAAGCATCCGCATGTAGAGACGACATCACGTCGACTGCCCGTCGCTAGCCACTCGTAAAGTCATGCAAACACGGGGAAACTAGGAGTGAACGGCCGTCGGAAAGGGTCAATGAAAGAGAAGGGAGCGGGTGCCCCCCGCAAAAAGCGAGCTGGCGTCTTTTTGCAAGGTCGCTCCATGGCGGCGCATAGTCCGTCGGAGGGATGCCGTCGGTCGCAAACCGGCTGGCGATCTGGAAACAGAAAACCGGTTCGTTCTTCGCGGGGGAAACGTTGGTGGATCGGCGAGCAAGTTCATTCATCAGTGGGGCTCGAAGGGCAGGAGGGGGTGGGGCGCTAATCGAGAACTTTGACGACCGCAATGCGCTGTAATCGACGCGAGAAGTGGTGCCTTTCCAAACCATGGCTAGCTCCAATATTCCGAACTGATTTCGCATTTGTTGTCCAGGAGTTTTCGACGAGAGCAAGTCCTGGACCACCTACGCAAACGCTCCCTGCTCCTTATTGAAGTCGGGCAGTGTGGGGGATTGCCTCCTGACAGCTTTATGGATACCGTGCAAATACTTGTCGACAAATTCCCGGGCGCCTACGACGAGTGGGAAATGCAGGATTTGAAGCTCGTCTCGAAAACCCAAGCAAAGGTGATGAATAACAGCACTAATTTCCACCCATTACCTGACATGCAACACAGTGAAGCAGTGGCTACTGCATACTTGGTACATATGGCCGCTTTCGAAGCATCGCAGCGCACCAGGATAAGGCGTTCAGTCCAAAATGAGTGATATCACTTACGCCTCATAATTTCGGCCTGCAGCCTGGTTGGGCTCTCTCCAAGCCTGACCTCGCGCTCCGGTGGCTGAACCACGTCACCAAATATGCCCGTCTGTGTTTCTGAATCCTCAAGACTCACTCTATCCCCGCTGGGGACCCAGGGCACCTTGAGGCAGGCATCGATGGCGTCCCGATACTCCTGGGAGCAGTCTGGCATCGAGGACCGCGCCACTCGCCTCGCAACGAGCAATTCCGTGTTTGGCGTCAACGTGGCGCGGTCCTCGGGGGTGTAGAACTCCTCGATTGGGGTCCAGCGGTGGATCTCGATGAGCAGGATGCCGAGCCGTAAAATGCCCGCGTTGCCGTGGAAGCAGTTGAGGTCGGGCGGCTCGCCCATCGAAGGGAACTGATCGAACGAGACGCTCATGTAGGGGTGCCGTAGATCGACATCACTCTTCGTAGAAAAGAAATGCATGCGCTCCTTGCTCCACCGGTCGCTTAGCCAGGGACTCTCGTGCAGCTGGAGAACAGAGTAGGCCATAACTAGGGCAAGGCGGCGACGTTCTATCAGGAGCGGTTCCTTAGTATTCTTCAGCATCATGTCAAGAGAGACTTCGGGCTGCTGTTCCAGGTACTCGAGCTGCGACTGCCGCCAGTTCAGTCGCCAGAGCCGCTGGGTCCCCTCCGTGTCCTCGACAAGGAGCTGAAGCCCGTACTCGGGGGTGTACGCGTCTCGAATGACGTCGCAAATTTTCTGGAGCTCTGCCCGATGCTGAGAGGTTTTGATACTGCTCGTATTCTTGGGTCAGCAGGCGTTAAAGCCGCCGCGAGGCATATTTGTCGGTGTATCGAGGAGATGGTCCGGACAAGGGGGTGGATGAGGGCCTAGGCTAGCGGCGTATTGCAGAGTGAAAGGAGCTGGAAAAAAAAAACTTGGAAGGCACTCACCTCGCAGGCTTAATCATGACGGTTCCTTCCCGCCACCCCCAGATCTGACAGTTGGGCCGGGAGACCAGGAAGTCAAAGAATACTTCCGTCAGGTCGGTCTTCCGTTTCGGGCTAGTGCTGGTGCCAGCGCAGCTCGCAAGCGAAAAGCGAGCCTCGTGGCCTTCTCTGGAGCAGTCGCAGGACCAGGACTTCCGGATGGTGTCGAACAGCCTCTGGGAGAGAGTCCTGAGAAGAGACGACGGATGGACCGGAGCCGCGACAGTGGCCGTAGCCGCCTCCCCCCGGTCCGCTGCGACCGGGCTGGCGGATTCCACAACCATGTACACACGCTTGTTCCATGTCCTCAGGTTCTTGATGCACATCTTTCTGTCCTTGTCCTTCCTGAAGAAGCGAAGCCGCTCCAAGAGGTTGCTGGATAAGCCTCCGGCTTCCCGGGCTTCCTGAAGCCTTCTGAGCTTATAACGCATCGTGGCCTCGCCCATGTCGGAGCTGGAGAGATGGACGGTGTCATCCTTGACCAGGCGTGCAAGCAGCTCCATCACCTTGCCCATGACCCGCTAGAAGGCCTGGTAGTCGTCCTCGGCGGTAAAGAAATCGCGGAGCGCCTGCGCGACGTCTTCTGCTTCGCCCCATTTGTCCAGGTCTCTGCTATCGAGGACCTCCTTTTTTCGCTGCTCGGGAACTGTAATTAGAGCAAAAGGAATCAGTGTCAACTCAAAAACATATGCGCACCAAAAGCGAAAAGAGATAGGAAGAAAATGCAAGCGGGAATAATAGGCGTGCGGAAGTAGGCGTACGGCCGGGCAATCTCTTCACCACGGTTTCAATCCGTTTCCGGAGCTCGTACGTTTGCCACCAAAACTCCTCGTAAAACTCTTTCAACTCTTGATCCCACGGGCAAGCTGTACTGCGCCCAGGACGTCCAGATCCTGCCTCGGCTGTGGTCTCACTACAGCAGCCGAATGTCACCTGCCTGGCTTCACCTGCGCCAAAAAAGCGTCCTGCACAACGATATCAAGCCATCTAACATCCTGTTCAGCGAGCAACGTGGAGCTGTCCTCATCGACTTTGGCCTCGCCACTCTGGACGGGTAACTCACCTCCACGGGCGGCACGCCCTGGTATGTGCCCCGAGAGTACATGGATTATTTTCGCCGGGCAGCACCGGCCGACGTTTGGGCGCTCGGCGTGGCCGTGGTATTTCTTTTGGGCCATATGCCCCTGCCGGATAGCGAGCGGCAGGTCAAGTCTTGGCTCATCCGAGACATCGCGCAGCCCCGGCCCGATTCCCTCCTTCCGCCATCCCCAGCCCAGGCAAGGATGGTACAGTGGCTCGACATAGTAGAAGCGTCCAACGGCAGATATGCCATTGCCTTCGGTATCCACGCCTGGACTTGAGATGGACTCGTCGCGGGAAGAGACTGACAAAGCCTTTGCCGCGGTGGAAGCCGCCCTCGGAGTCCAGATCAACGACGGCGCAACACCGATTGATTCATTTCATTTTGAGGACCTCCTGACCAGGATCGCTGCGGCCGGCGTACTACCGCAGCGACAAAACAAAGCGGAAGGAAACGGCCCACGGCGGCTGCAGCCTCCTCAATCACTGCCCTTGCTCGACATTCCAAAAATTCTAATCACTGATGCGGAAGAAGCTTCAACTACGCAGCAACACGCACAACAGCAAATAGAGCAAAACAGGACGAGGCAGCAGGCGCAGGAGGTACAACCGGCCAGGTCTACCCACGTATATTTACCATGCAGCCCTTTTACAATCACCATGCCCACCTTCCGCCACGGCCCAATCCGTCTTTCCCGGTCCGACATTAACACTTTCGGAGTTAAAAGGCTGGGAAGCTACGAAACGCTAGACTGGGCCGCTTTTCAAAGGCCCACCCTTTCCGATGGTCCTGACGGCTTTCCTTCTGGCAATGTACACTTTACTCAAGG